GCTCAGCACTTTTGTTTTTTATTTTTTCGGAAAAAGGCTCATCGCCGCCCCCTTTGTGTTCTCTCAGCCTACTACGCTACTCCTTCCTTCTCTTGACACCCCAGATACAGAGCTGGTTTTTACCCACTATCATCAGTTCTCCCTCAATTTCTTTACTTCTTTTCTCTAAATCTGACAGTTAATTCTGCATTCTGCGCTCTGCTTATCCTATTTGCAGCACCCAACAAAGTTGATCCCACTTTCCTTGAAACACTGTTTTCACTGGGCTTCAGAACGCCATAGGCTCCTGCCTGGCTGACCTGCCAGTCTTTCTCCTCTGCTGTCTTTTTTTTTTGTTACTTGCCTCTTAACACTAGAGCATCCTGGAACATATTCTGTAAATAAATCTTCTCTTTCTATTCTCAGGCTCAGGGGCCCTGAGGAATCTGGCTTTAACTACCATCTACCCAATGGGTTCTCAATTAAGAGACAATGGCTAGATATATTTTTGGTTGTGACAACTGGGGGCAGGCGCTACCTGCATCTAGTAGAGGGAGGTCAAGGATGCTACTAAACTCCCCCAAATCCTCAGGACAGTCCTCTGCAACAGAATAGTTCCCTCTCAAATGTCACTGTTGCTGATGAGAAACCTGCTCTACCCAGACCTCCTCTCTGAACTCTAGGTTTATCTTTGTTCAACATATATATTTCAAGTTATCTCAGATGTAAACTGTCTCAAACAAGCTTTGATTCCCCAGTCTCAGGAAAGGTCCCTACAAAACATTACCAGAGTCAGGATCCAAGTGCTAATGCTTTAGTAGATGGTGTGAATTCAAAGCAGTAAAGATATTGAAATAAGGGGACAAGCTACCAAGCTGGCCACTGTTCTGAGAGGATAGAGACACAGCCTGTCACTAGACCATGTAGCTGGTTGGCCACCAGAAGAACAAAGGTAGAAAGATTCATCTAGAGCTCCATCCTAGTTTGCATCTCCTCTAGGGTCAGCCTCTGTGGTCCAATATTTTACCTCCAGGTGGTTGTGTGGCTCTCCTGTATCTTTTCAGTGCTGAGGAATACAATTCCACTCATGGCAGTGTGGCAACCTCAGGATGTACAACTTGGCTGCCCACAGAGCTGGCTTTTCCAGTCTCATTTATGGTAGAAGATGAGGTGAGGAGATTCTGAGTAGAGGCCTTTATTGGACCACACAGTAATAAGGAGGACACACAGTCCCAGGCTCCATATTCAGATGGAAGAGAAACTAACTCACACCCTGTGGTAGAACATGACGTTATCGCCTATCAAGTTTTTAATACCACAAGTCCAGGAGACATTCTGGACACTTTTCTCTCTCCTCAGACCCAAACTCCACTACTTCTGAAAATGAAAGCCAATTCCAAGCACTCACCACTCCGGCTACTTATGACACCTGCCATCCCAGTACCTTGCTTCCAGGAAATCAGAGTTTAAAAAAACAAAACAAAAACTCAAACCCAAAACAGTGCCAGTGAGGATGGCTTAGCAAGTAAAGGTGCTTGCTAAGGCTGATAACCCAAACTCCATCCCTGGGATCTATATGGAGCAAAGAGAGAGTTGGCTCTGTAAAATGTCCTCTGACCTCCAAATTTGTGGCACACACACACACACACACACACACACACACACACACACAATTTTAAATGTTTTTTAAAAAAGTAAAAAAAACAAAACAAAAAACAAACAAACAAACAAAAAAAACAAAATCAAAAACCAGTAGAGCATAGCATTTTGTGCCTGGAATCCCAGCACTGGGGAAGCTGAGGCAGGAGGATTGCTATCAGTTTGAAGCCAGCCCGGGTTACAATGTGAGACCCTGAGATCGGA